AAGTTCATATCTCAGGTTCACTCATGTAATATACATAATCAAGGCATTATTATGTCTTCTTGAATATCATAAACATGTTATAGGGAAGAAACGTGTTAACTCATATTGGATTTTGCAAAGGATTGTGGGATAGAAAATTGAAGTGTAGAGGTATTTGGGAGGATCTTTCATCTTTTCCATAGAGCTCTACATTGAAATCAGCTTTTCACCTTTTCTGTTTTCAAGTAATGCTTTTTTTTTTTTTTATTATATGATTCTATTCTCGGACTTTCCATTCATTTTACTATCGCATAAAATCGTCAAAACAATCTTCCCAGTAAAATCCAATATGCAGTTAACACATTTCGTCCCTATATGACAATGCCTTCTAAAGTCAATTACCTCATTGACAGCATCTCAGGATTTCTGATAAGATTGAGACAATACCAAGCTTTAACTAGTTAGGTGATTGAAGGATTGGAGGAATCCCGGCAGTAATTGTAAATGTTGGGCCCAGTAACATCAGCGCAGTAAATTATGCAAAAGCTGTACATGACTGTGAAAGATACCCTTGCATTATCTCTTATGCATCTTTGATTAGCAAGGTCCATCATGTCAGTTATCATGCAGCGACTCTTGGTCATAAAACTCTTATCTGATTTTAGGTTCTTATGATATGAATATTTTATTGCCATTTTCTGAATATTTTAATATTACAAGTGTTTGTTTATGCAATATCATGGTAGACTATTCTGGCAGAATGGGCCATTCCAGTTTATAACTGCACCCCCTGTTGATGAGCTTGTGTGTTTACTTCATACAGGGTATAATTTCCATGGGTGTATAAGTCATACAAAGTTTTATTTCCAAATCACCATTCACCATACAGTAATGGAAATCCAAAACTATAGTTCCTACTTATGGTGTTGATGAGTTCCATTGTGCCACCATACAGAGTAGGATTTCCAAATATAACTCATAACTAAAATATGCTAATTTACCAAGTTAAAAATTTTATATTTGATAATGGAAATCCAAACTAGTCCTGATTCACGGTGTTGATGAGCTCATTCGTGCCACCATCCTTATCTAATTTCAGTAATAACTATTTCATACTGGCCCAATTTTTTTACCATATACAGTCAGAATTCCAAGTTTTTTTAGTCATACTGTTGGAAATCCAACCTCATCAACCGGTATGTGGCGAGATAAACTAGGCCATATTTTATTTACATGTAGTAGCCATAACTGCCTGGATTTCCAGGAATTTTTTTTTTCATACTCGTCTGGATTTCCAGATTCGGGGTATTTTCCCCATCATACAGTGCTGGAAATCCGACCTCATCAACAGGGGGGTGCAGATATAAACTGGAATGGCCTAATGCACTATTACCATCATAGATGAATAGAATGGCATATATGAGAAAAATGTATGTAGTTGTTGTTGACTGTGACAACAGTTTTTGTTCAATTATTTTTCAAACTTGGATATTTTATTAATTAAATGTCAACTTTTGTAACAAAATTAAACCCACACAAATTTTTCTACTTTTTTTTCAATAATTTTGTTAAAAACCTGTAGCTATAGTTTAATTATGTGTATTTAATCCAAAATTAACAATGAAGTTCAAGAAATATAATAAAATGTGCAAAATATTGTAAATATTGTACCAAATGTTTAAATTATAGCATTTGATGCAGTGTTGAATATTAGCAAAGTTTTTTTGTTTTTTGCATGTACATTTTTGAAATTATTAATAATTATTTAAAAAATATAATGATTAAATATTGCATTTTTGTGTGTACATTACAATACAATGTAACCCACTGTATACATTATCAACTACATTAAATTTGCTATGACTAGTGTAGTGCAACAATTAAATTATTAAATAAAATAAAATAAATGCATATGACAACTACCGGTAGATGTCAGTAATACATGTATATTCTTCAAAATCTGGTACTTAAATATTACAATAACCGGACATATTTTTATATGTCATTATGTAGTACATGACATATAAAGTCATTATTCATGTAAATATTTTGCTTACCAGTAGATAGATTGCTTTTAATATTTGTATCTACTTTTATGCAATTCATGGTATATTTTCTAAAAGGCACTAGGACATTTATTAAAAAGTATTAAAAAAATAAAATAAAATAATATAAAATGGGATATCAAATGTGTAGATAGAATTAATAGGAAGCCATAATTCAGATTTGATGAAAATCAATATTTCAATCTTAAAAAATTTCTGGTCTTCAAATATCTCACCTAATAGTCCTGAAATCACAGTAGGAATAGCCTTGGCGATTTAGGGACATTCAGTTAATTTTGTTCCAAGCAACAACTATTCTATGTATTTATGAGCATAGTAATACAGTAGAACCAAATTATTAATTTCAAATATTAAGAAATGGTCAAAAATACAAATTCAGATATTGATGATATGAGGTTATTACGAGGATACCTCAAAGTGTGCATGAAGACAGTACAGCGAGAGTATCGACCGACACGGTGTACTGTCTGAGTGCATACATTGAGGTATCCTCATAATAACTTTATTATTATACATATTTTCCTTCCAAGGATACATCATGGGAATGCCGAAATCCAAAAAGTTTAAAACAAAATCTTTGAAATTCTTTGTATGGAGTTCGGTCAAACCCTGGTGGCAGCCATGTTTGTTTTTATTATTAGAGGACGCTTACATGCGTAATCATTCCATATTTTGAAATCAAATTTCCTTATATGGTAGGATGAAAATACCATGTAAAATACCGCAATATTACAGCACGCTGTAACTTATGTCGGTGACCGATGTTTAATTATTATAATATTTAATATTAAGATTTGATGACTCCAGTCTGTCTAAGCTGTTTAAAAATTTGTAAATGTTATGGGGAGAAAAAACAGGTACAGAATAAATTGGTATTGGATATGAAATACTTCTGTCAGTATTATTATGATCTGATATCTTTTTTTCAGATTATTAAATCTTCTCTGAATCAAAACAAAATTTCCTGTTTTATATAAAATTCTTGTGTACTGTAAAATTATTTTGGTAATGTGACAGTATGGAATGTGAAAGTCAACACACAGTGCAAATGTCTTGTTTTAATATGTGCCAGTCTATATATAGATTATATGTGTACATGTATATGTATGCTTTTTATCACCAAATCAGAATCACTTTCATAACCATAGAAACCACAACAACACACAAAAACACATACTATACTACAAATAAAATTTAAAATTATTGATGTCAATGATACTACAATCAAAATTAAAAGATTCTGTTAAAACAAAAACCAGTCGAGAGCCAGCTTGGAAGTTAATAAATTTATGATCTAATTGCTCAATATTTTTATAATAAAACATATAAAAAGTTTAATTATTTTCTCATAATTTGTCACATTGACATCTTAGTATATATTATTTGTTCAAATCAGGTAGCAATAAAGCAATAGTAATGATAGGGATTCCCTCCACCCTCACACTCCCCCTCCCCCACATACTTTATTTTGGCAATGACACACGTTTCATGTGAACTACATTGTCACAATCTAAAGAGGGATCACCAGATGTGCTGTCTTTCAACAATTGTGGGAAGCATGATATTAATACACTGTGACCTTATGTGGCTTATAAACTAGTGAAAATATACTATATCTATACCAAATAAATAAACTAAAAATTGTCAGTATACACCTCATTTTGAAAGGATGCATTGCAAAAATATTGTAAAAAATACAAAAATGTTTTTACTACAATTAAAAAACATTTAAAATCAAGAGGTCATGCAATAATTATAACAATGCACAGTAAAAACGATGGTGATTTGTAAACAGTGACATGCTATGGCTGTCTGTTGTATGCACAGTTGATGACTTCTTTGCTTTATGCAAATAACACTGCATATCACTACACCTTTCTATGAATGTCTTAGAGGAGGGAGTGGTTGGGGGGTATTGATTTTGACCAAATTACAGTTTATGAGGTTGCAAGTTGAAAGGTGAAATTTTTTTAATTCTAATTTAATCCGAGTTCTACTTTGAATATTACCAAATTACTGGTAGTGTGTAGGTATTGTAATTGTGTATATACATTTATATAAATATGTACCTGTATTCTGACTATTCTTCTCCCAATTGTTTTCTCTATTTTGGATCACAATGAAAAGCCTTCAGTGGGTTATTCATTTGATGCGTTTTCATTCATTTTGCACCTATCTGTGAAAGGTTTTATTAGCCAGTGTGTTTGATAGATAGTAAACATTATGTAGTATTTCAAAAGTTCAGGGTTGAATTATGTTAGACGAAAATTGTGCAGCTACTCGTACATGTAGCTTCAAAGAGACGTCCAGACTACTCATGTGAATACAGTCATTTCTATGGCAACAGAATGTAGAATAATACTAAATTGCTCAGAAATTATTTTCACTTGAGAAGTAAATCCTAATAAAATCCAATGAAAACATCTTTTCCAAACTAGTATCAATTTGCCTCAATTCCTTTTTAAATGATTAAAAGTATTTTTTATTTTTCATTATGAAACAAACTGACAATATACTATTTTCTTCATTAATCTGACAGTTTTCAAAATGAGTACAGTGGCCATGGAGGGTTATCATGTAAAAATAGGTTTAATCTATCAGATATTAGCTAGTATGCACTGAAGGAGAATTAGTTTATACTGAAATATGTTTTCATAAAAAATGATTATAACAATATTTATGGCCTGAACAAATTTTAGAGTTTTAGAGTGATGACCTTATTTTATGTTCTCATTAATCAGTAGTCTGTACAGAACAGTTTTGTGCATCACAGATCAATCTTAAAATAATTCATATATGTGAATGCCATCATTATAGTTACAGACATCTTTTTTAAGTGAAAACTGGCAAATAAAACTTTATATTGCAATAACCATGGAGAAGTACGTCAACTGCAGCTTACTATAAATCCATGACAACAGAATGTCTATTAAGTTGGCTATACAATGAACAATAATTTTAGTTTTGAAATAATTTCTGACATAAGTTAAAGGGCCTTATTTACTCATCTGATACTTCTTAGCTTGTTGTTAAAATGAATTAAATTAGTTTTAGAAATTGCAAAATGACAAATTTTATTTTATTTTTTTTTCACATGTTTCAGTGACTGTATTACCGGTAATTCTAATTTTTTCCTCTCGGCATTTTTTCAACATAACTAAAAAAATTATTATTTTGCATTCGGCTTAATATTCTGAGTAGATGTAACCACCTTGTTTCAGCTGTAGAAAATGAACCAAATTATGTTGTAATACCCAGGTATCTGATAATTTCAAAGAAATCTTGTTTTGAATTGATCCTTATAATTTCCTATTTCTAAAGGGTCTTTCATTTTACATTAACATATTGATATGTTTGTTCCTATATGTTTAATTTGTAATTTCTTTAACGAAAAAAATATTTGGAATATTACATGCAACTCTTGCCACAAAAAGGAGTGCCCATTATTTACAATTGCACTGTAATTTACTGGTATACTGGTCTAACACTACTATCTGCAGTTCTATGTTCACCACAGAAAATAGTTGGAAATGATAAATATTTTGCACCATTTTCTGAAAATAAATCTAGAGAAACATTGGGTTCGCCAGGTACATAGGAAAATATTTTATCTGACTTTTGGCAAAATCAACTGGTTGTAATTACCGGCAGGCCTGTTATCTAAATCCAGCGAATATACCTTTTTTCCCATATTTAACATTCAACTCATCAGAAATCAGTGAAAATAAATTCCATACAAAACACCCAAAAGTGTTTTCAGGGAAAATTAATTCCAGTGAAAATAAAGTATTCCACAGTATACTTTCAAAATATACATGGCAAGCCATATGTAGTTTAACTATGTTTCTCTCTGTAATTCAATCAATATCATGCTGCAGTACAGTACAGTAATAAATTGTATGTTTCCAGGAAAGTATTTTATTTTGAGTGCCTTCAGCATTTGTCACATTCATGAAATCTTACTAAAAATAGAACTGGTATACATTATTCAGTATGTGAAACAGATTCAATGTGGACAACATGTATAAACGATAACAAATATTAATTTCAACTCAAACTGAATTAACTTTACCTGGACCTTTCAGTGTTTTGTTGTGATGGAGTTTATTGTTTGAGCAAAGCCAACTATTTCAATGTCACATTAGTTGTAAATAGGTCTGTTTTTACTGAATTGCTTGTTTGAATTGAACATCTCATGAATAATTAATCACATGGTGTATTAATGCTTAATTGTATAATGACTTTATGTGAAACAGAAATTTATAATTGGTTATAAGAGATATAATGTCTGTGTACAAGATCCATCTTGGGGACAAAAACATACCACTATATTGTTTACTTAATACATGCTTCAAATAGAGCTCTTTTAAATGCTGGTTGGACTAGCTGTTCTATGATCACTGAGGAAGATGATTTTAAAATGTTTAATAATAAAAATTTACTGAATTGGTGAATAAAATGACTCTTCATTGACCCAAAGATGACAAAAATGACATATGGAGCAGCAGTGAATAGATTTTTTTACAAATTTTAATAGTGAGTTTAATAAACAACAATTTTCATCAGTGGATATTTTTTTCGTGCAGAGTAGACTAAAATTATTTTGGAATAATCTAGTTTTTACGTGCTTCCTTTGATGAAGTAACGCGTGTAATTCAAGCAGAAACAGGTAGCTAGCATTTCCACATTTCTATGGTGTACTACTAGATTTTAGAGATGTTAAGCTGCATGTGCCCTCAACACACATGAAAAATGTATTCGTAACGAGGATAGAGGTTATTAATAAATCTAGTTTTTTATGACCAGGAAATTCGTCGCTTGATCATGAAATGATTATTGTTTGAGAAATATATCCACTCTAGAGCAATTGAACTATATTTCTACCCACAAACAAATTGTTGCACATCATCAGAAAACAATAGGATCATTCATGATGAGAAACAATAATTTGTATCCATTTATCAGTTTGGAATTGTGGCATTTATTGGGATATGAATGAAAAATTTGTTGCTCTAAAATATCTGTGTAATTGCTGGTTGTAGCTAGCATATAGATCAGGTATCCATAGAAACCATTTAATGATTCCTTGATGCGTTGACTTATATGCCATATTTGGTATGCACTATTGATGAAATCATTCATCAAATAAACTAACTCCATGCTGAAAAAATGTCGGAATTTTTTGCTGAGAAATATAATGTCCTCTAGTTATCTAGTGGTTATTTGCTGTTGGTTTATATTGACAAATTGAGGGCGCTGTTCTACATTTAAAATTTTAAAAAGGATGCTATTTGAAACCTTAGAAAAGTCACATGACTGTTAAAGCAGGGGAGTCTTCACCTGCGAATGCGTCAGATGGTCATAGCGTGTCATTGTTTACAAACAAGCATCTACCCATGAGCCTTTGCGTTTTTAGCGTGTGTTCTTATCGTCGCTGTGTGTTCTTATCGTCACTTGGGACTCAATTGCTGCGCTTGCGCAGGTGACAACCCTCCCGCTTTATACAGCACATTATGCGATGTGTGTTATGATTTCACATAAACAAACTATATACTTGAAATGAAACATGACTTGTTGTGATGACCACCATAAGCTTAAATTTGCCCTTTGTACACAATTTTTGATGAATTACCTCGTACTTTTTTTTGTTTTTTTTCATTCCATTTTATTTTAACCTCTAAAATAATTGGTTCGACTAAATTTGTAAAGAGAACCCTGACTCTATTTAGAAATTGTTTATATCTTGTAGGTTATGTGGTTCAGTAGTGGAGGAACTAAGTCTGTTTTACATAACGATGACGTCGATAATATCAACTGTCTTTATAGGGGAAGAAAAGAGCTGCTTTTTATTGATTTTTTGAAATACAGAAAAACAGTAAGTTAGTTCTATTAAAAATATATTAAGGTTTTCACTAACTTAGCCTTCCTCTTTCCTTCACAAACTTACAAAATAGTTCCGTTTAGTCTGCACTTTCTTTCAAAAGATTGCAACAAAAATAGCCAATAATAAGTAATAACTGATAATTGACTCTAATTTTGTCTGTTGGCTTCAAAATTAGAGTTCATTTCCATAAATATTTAAGAACATAGGAAAAAATTGCAAAAAAATTTGAGTGAGAAATTCTGGTGGTGAAAAGATTGATACATGTGCCCTATTGTGAAAAAAAAATAGTGTTACAATAATATTTAAATGTTACAATAATATTTAAATGTTACAATAATATTTAAATGTTACAATAATATTCAAATGTTTTCCCAAATAAGGTAATAGGAGTACATATTGTCTACAATGCATTGATATATACACCACTCACAGGAATTGACAGGATGGTGAACTATATCATTGACCTTATTAGTCCCCGTTCAGACGCAGTCCGAAAACGGGGACTTATGTTTTGCCCTGTGTGCGTGCGTCCGTGCGTCCGTGCGTCCGTGATCACCTGTATCTCGAACATGCATGGACCGATTAAGTTCAAACTTCACTCATACATCACACATTATATGGGACATATGCACATGCATTTTTTTCATGATCCGATTAACGATAGCCGAATAGCGGCCATTTTAAGGCCGAAAATGCATCAAAATCGCACATTTTCACCATTCCGGACCCGGATCTCAGTTATGCATGGACGGATTTTGTTCAAATTTGGTACATACATTAAACAT